CCGCTAATTGAGAACCCGAGTAACGCTCCGATCGAAGAACTCAAAGCGCACAAGCTTTGCAAATCAGCTGCAAGGGTCGGATGAATGCTACTGTTCTGTGCTACACATGCATCTATGGTGACATCTGCTATGGCTACACCAGCACTTCCCGCTGTTAACAACAAAATCGCTAGTAGGAGATGCAGCTTCTGGTGTAAGGCTAATGAAAGCAAGGAGATCACACCAAGAAGACCTGAAATAGAGAAGAAATATGACTGACGTTCAACGTATCTGCAAGTTCAGATGCACCTTGTGTAACAGTTCAAGCCCACCGTTAGCAGATATTGTTCTTTTTGGACTTTTCCTTACGGGCTTTCCCTCAAGGTTTTTAAAACACGTGCTTATGAATATTTCGTTCCCCTCTCCAACCGATGTGGGATCTCATAAGGGAACCCTAAGAGAGCCACCGACTCTAACTACTGTCCATATACGATCAAAGCATTCAAAGAAAATACTCTAAGCATGGAAACCACAGTTGGCATGGAAGCTCACGGCTAACAGATATTGTCCTTTTTTGGCTTTTCCTTTTGAGCTTCCGCTCAAGGTTTCTAAAACGTGTTTGATAGGGAAAGGTTTCCACACCCTTATAAAGAATGCTTTGTTCCCCTCTCTAACCGACGTGGGATCTCACAAGGAAACCCTAAGAGAGCCCCGACTCTAACTACTATCCATATACGATCAAAGCATTCAAAGAAAAGACTCTAAGCATGGAAACCACGGTAAACCATTTATGTTGGTAATTGATGTAACAACTCAAACCCACCGCTAGCGGATATTGTCCTCTTTGGGCTTTCCCTTCAAGGCTTCCCCTCAAGGTTTTAAAACGCGTCTACTAGTGAGAGGTTTCTACACCCTTATAAAGAATGCTTCGTTCTCTTCTCCAACCGATATGGGATCTCCCAATTGATCTCAGAGATTCGATATAAAACAATATTAATCATAGTGAAGAACCTATAATAACATACAAACCAAGCACTCAATCATGAAAAGTTCTCACTGTTAAGAGCTTTACAGATCCAAAAGGTGCAAAAATTCAATACACACACTCAAACAACAAGCCCCACTTAGTTCTTTCTTAGCTTAACATTTAGTATTTGGTTGAATCAAGCATAAACGCAAGGGGGATCAACAAAACACAGCATATAACTTTACCTGCAAAAACAAAGTAAGGCCTCCGATGGTATCCAAGAACAGGGACTAAGTCAGTGAAAAGACCCCAAATAGGCTTAACCATCCATGGAATTGAGGTAATGCCAGAATAAACCTGTGCTTCAGAAGGCTGCACTTTCTGAACATCCTTCATATAGTACTCGGTGGCGACACGGTTAAGCGCACCGCCCAATCCTTGACTAATCCCATAAACAATCACTACTCCAAATACAAAACTCCAATGCATTTCAGAAACAAGTGTTTTGAACCAATAAACCGCCGTGCCAATAGAGACACTAGACTCTTTCTGGGGTTCATCTTCTTCCAAATCTTCATCAAAGACATTCAACTTATCTTCCTCCACCATCAATCTAGGCTAAAGTATAACCAGTTCAGAAAAACAGAGTTTCCTGAACTGATCAAATCGCACCCAGTTCCTAGAAAAACCGCTTCCTAAGCTCAAAATCAAACGGATGAAGAACTCACTCTAATAAATTTGAAATGCCCCAAATGGGTTCATCACGAAACTACCCACCATTGATGGCAGATCAAAAGCTCCAAAAAAAGAAACAAAAGCAATCAATCGCAAGAATCTGATCTGGGTGCAAGAAGAAATGATACAAAACTTCAGAATAGATGGGAAAAAATGTGTTCTAAGTGAAGAAGCTGAGATATCTTCTTCCTAGAGGTGGTTTGACCAACCAGAACTTAAACGAAAAGGGGGGAAAACCCTTTTCAGATCTAGTTCTTTACTGCTATAATCTTTTCCCATTCAACGAAAAAAAGGGTAAATTAAAGACGAGATTCACAAGGGAAGCAGCTAAAGAACTTGAAGAACAAAACTTAGACAATTAAAGCATCAATGGCTCAATGGGGCCAGAGATTCGAGGTAGGTACACCCTTTTGGGTGAGAAGGAACGTCAGGACAAAGAATTCAATAAACCTCAAAGAGCTAGGGGTTTTGTAGAAGAGAAACGTGGCGCACTCTTAATGGTTCCGTGAAAGTGGGGACAAGGCAAGGGAATGCTGCTTTTGTAATGGCGGGGAGAGAGAATTTGTTTTTTTTTTTTTTTTCCTCTTTTTGTCTAAACGCAGTGTTTAAAGGTTGGTTGGCTCTCTGTCCTAAGCAAATCTCACGCTCAATTTGCGTTGCCGTCATTTCAAATATTTTATTATTTAATTACTTAATATTTTCTGAGGATCTTTATTCCGCCCACCAACCCCAAAGTTAAATTATACAAAAATATAATTATGTTTTTAAATTTTAAAAATTTTCATTTTTATTTTTATCTAAATTTGGATTAAATTGTTAACCGATAAATGTTCAATAAATTGTTTAAATATTAATTCCTCAACAAAGTTAAATTATACCAATAAATTGTTTAAATATTAATTCCTCAACAAAGTTAAATTATACCAATAAATTGTTTAAATATTAATTCCTCGACAAAGTTAAATTATACCAAGGTTATACCATACATGGTGAATGACAAGATTATACCATACATGTTTAGATTTAGGGAGCTTTTTTTGTATTTTTCAACTTTAGAGTATTATTTTTACGTTTTTAAGTTGTATTTAATTAGTGGATGGACACGAGAGTTATATATTATAAGTCATGAGTTTGTTCCTTTGCATTTCCTGTGTTTAGATTTGCATGATAGTCATTTAAGTAATCTTGATCAAGCTATCTCCGAGTGATTTAATCTATTCCAAAATTTTTCTTTGGGTTGATTCTTAGTTGTTTAAGAAGTTCTTGGATAATTTAGATCTGAAAGTATCGTTTTTCAACAAGGTTGTTAGATCAAATTCCAAGATAAATATTTAGGCTAAATTATTTAAATAAATAAATAAAAACCTAATGTTCCTCAATTTTTTTAATAAAAGAAACTTCTGAACTTTTAAAAAGTTTGGTTCTAGTATTGACAAAATTACACGGTGGACATTATAAATCTGACTGGGCACCTGTATTACGTGGAAAAAAGCGGAAACAAATCAATATTTTAAATGACCATGAAAACAAGAGCTCTATGGCTATCAAAAACACCATATACTTCGAGAGTTCTTTCTTTAGTTTTCTCTTCGAATGCTTTCTTCGTGAGGAAGGTGAGTTCGATCGTATAGGTATAGATTTGTGAGATCCCACATTGGTTGGAGAGAGGAGAACGAAATATTCTTTATAAAAGTGTGAAGACATCTCCCTAGCAAACGCGTTTTAAAAACCTTGAGGGGAAGTCCGAAAGGAAAAGCTCAAAGAGGACAATGTCTACTAGCGGTGAAATTAGGCTGTTACAAATGGTATCAAAGCCAGACACGGGGCGATCTGCCAGCGAGGACGGCCCCGAAGGGGGATGGACTGTGAGATCCTACATCGGTTGGGGAGGAGAACGAAGTATTCTTTATAAAAGTGCGCGTTTTAAAAATCTTGAGGGGAAGTCGGAAAGGAAAAGCCCAAAGAAGACAAAATCTACTAGCATTGAACTTAAGCGTTACAAGGTTCGAGACGAGGAGTATTGACTTAATCCAATCAACTCATGGTAACAACTACATAGAACAGAGCAATCCCTAGCCTTTTTTTTTGAAGGTGGGTGGGGGAAGACTATGGTACAACCCATCGTTGTAGCTAGTTGGGAGTGGGCTTCCCTTCCCTCTCCTCTGGCTGGCCTACTAAAAAAGGCTTTCTATGATTAAGAATTCCTGCAACTCTAGCCATCTAGGGTGGGATTTAGGGCTGAGAAGAAACTAGTTTGATGGAGAGGTTGAAACATGGATTGCCTGAAGAACAAAGTAGCTATAGCAAGACCTTGAAATCTGGAAGCTTCTGGTTCCTCTCAAGCAAGTCCACCTACCTCGAGCCGAATAATAAGAGCCCCGAGACATCTTTGACAATGATTGAGCTAGTTTGAGAAGGAAACGAGCCAAGGAAAGTGAAGTTTTGCTTTGGTCCCTTACATAATGAAGTTTAAATGTCCAAGACAAGGTGGGTACAAGGACTCCTCATTTGATCATCCCTCTTCAAGTTTATTGTCTATGTTTCAAGAAGGTAGCCTTGAACCACTAATTTATCCATTTTGATTTCGGCGTCTACGGGTCATTCCTTCACGAAAAAAAAAAGCCTTATCACTAGTAGATATTATCCGTTTTGGCCCGTTACGTATCGCTGTCAGTCCTAGGGAGAGGATTCCACACTCTTATAAGAAATGCTTCATTCTCCTCTCCAACCGACGTGGGATCTCACAATCCACCCCCTTTTGGGAGCCCAACAAGCACACTGTTCAATGTCTGACTCTGATACCATTTGTAACAGTCCAAGCCCACCACTACTAGATATTGTCCGCTTTAGATCGTTACACATCGCCGTCAACCTCAAGGTTTTAAAACGCATCTGCTAAGGAGAGGTTTTCTACACACTTATAAGGAATGTTTGTGGGATCTTACAAATGTATACCAAAATCCTCATTCTTAGCCTATGCTACCTATCCTCCATACCCCTTCCATTACCCACAACGAAGTACATCTGTTCCCTATAGAAATGGTACTCCCCTGTATGAGCAATCCTAAAAGCCCCAATCATTCAAACTCAGGATAAACGCAGACAAACATAAATTGAATTGTGAAACAAAAGAAAACCTAACCAGAAACAATAAAGAACAACAACAGTCTGCACAGAGATCCTTCCTAACACCAGCATATTCCATTGATAAAATGAAGAAATGAGTTCATTCTAGAATCAGTGACTCCAAACCATAAGAAACCATATGATAATCGATAATAAACAGAGCTGAAATAAGTAGGCAAGTTCTTATTTCACTGGCAAGTTCTTATTTCACTAAGCAGTTCATACTGATACCAATCGGTCATGGAAGATCCTTATTCAACCAAGCACAACAAGTTTACAGTCATTTTAACAATCTCATCTTCAGAGATGAGCATATTATCGAACAGCAATTCATTAAAGACTTCTGAACAATAAGATATATCAGAATGCTCGGAAATAACACGAAATTTCAACAGAAACCACACAGCGAAACACATAAACTTGTCGCACACAATCTAAGATGTTTAAGAAACAACGCGACCAACAATAGGGTACTTAGCTTCAAATTTCTTCTCCCAGTCGTTGAGAACACCGATCTCTTTCTCAGATAAGCCTTCGAGCGAAGAATTGATGTCCTCCTCATTCTTGGTCATCTTGGCCAGAGCTCTGCTCGCGTCCTTGCCAGCGAACATGGCGTAGGCGCCACCGGGGCCGTAGAAAGAAACGCCTGTTGTGACGTCGAAGATGCGGCCCTTCAAAGCCACATAGATGGGCTTCGATGAGTCGGTGCCATTGTAGGCGATCAACTGCTGAGGTGTGAGCTCCATAGCTTGGGGGAATTGATCAGAATCAAGGTCGGTCACTTGAATCGAAATGGAGAACTCCGCCGCCTTTTATTTGATCTTCAATCGAAGGAATCAAAGCCAAAGACATTTTGGATATACCCCATCATGGGCCAACAGAATTGTTATCACTAAAGAAAATTTTCTACTACTTGGCGAATAATTTGACCTAAGTAATCCAAAATTTTGAGCTGTAATATGACCTACTTTCCAAAATTAAGGTACTATAAAACCTTGTGCTCGTGTCGGTATCTAGAAAAAAATGACCCCTTTACCCTTAGGTTACAACAAAACAAATTTACCCACATCGAAGACGAGGATTTTTTGTTTAGGCAGGAAATGAGGGAAGGAGTCCACCTCGAAATGTCTATTTTACCCATCCCGAAAATGGGATTCTCCATTTGACAGGAAATGTGGGAAAGAGTGGGACAACATTTTTTTCCAATGGGCCCTGAAGATGAGGATTCTCAGTTTAGACGGAGAATGGGAAGGGAGAACTTTTTTTTCTAACGAGCCCTGAAGATGAGGATTCTCCGTTTAGACGGAGAATGGGAAAGGGAGAACATTCTTTTCTAACGGACCTTGAAGACGAGGATTCTTCGTTTAGACAGGGAATGAGAAGGAAGAATATTTGTTTCTAACGGGCCTGAAGACGAGGAATCTCCGCTGAAGGGAGAACATTTTTTTTTTATTGGAGACTTAAAATGGGCCTTATATTACACTTGGCGGCCCAATAGAGTCCATGATCTGAAGCCCACAAAGATTTTAATTCGGCCCAGCGAAGTGAATTGAGCACTGGGCCGAGCCATGGCAGCGGGAGTTGGCTCCAATAAGGCCGCGCTCTTCATCTATCCCACATAGAGGCTCATACAATCTCGCGCGAGGAGGCAATGGCGAACGACGAAGAGAGAGTTCTGGAGCACCAGCTAGAGGTTCAATTGCATGAGCAGAGAGAATCTCTCGCCGCCTTGCAAGATGCCTTAGCCTCCGATGCCTCCAATCCGGAGCTGCTCGAGGTACGTTCTTTTGTCCAATATGAATTTCCGTTTGGCTTTGGAGAATATTCATGAGAGGAATGCGTGATCACCTCTTATTGAATTTCATTATTATTTTTGAAGTTTTGAAGACCTCTGCTTGTTGATTTATTTGAATATAATCTGTTGATGTCAAGGTTCATGAGGAGCTTGTCCAAGCAATTAAAGATGCCGAGGAAGGACTGCTTCACCTTAAGCGTTCTAGGTTACTACGAGAAGCAGATTTGGTGTTGTGTGGTCGTGATAGTAACGCAGCGGAGGATGTTAAGGTGGAGCCTCTTCATTCTACGGATGTCGAACCTGAATCACCAGAGGATCAGAGTTTCGTCGTTGGATCGAAATGCAGATTTCGGCACACTGATGGACGTTGGTATGACGGTGAAATTGTTGGATTGGATGGTTCTAATTCTGCGAAAATTTCTTTCCTCACTCCTACAACTGAAAATATGTTGGTAAGCAATCTGGGACTCTATTCGTCGGCTTTTGCGAAACTGTTAGTTCTAATATCAAACCACTCCTCATTTTGTCTTTTGGATTGTGTTTATGCACATATTATTTTGACTTGAATTTACCGTTTTCTGTATGGTTGTGGCTGTCTTCGGTCTTTTTTTTTTTTTTTTTTTTTTTTTTTTTTTTTTTTTTTTTTTT